GACGCGTTTACACATCGCAAATGTGCTTCTCTCGCTTCCTGATCTGACCCGATTTCACGCATTACTCCGCTCAGTTGCTCTAAGGTTTCTCCTTCATTCTCCATCGCTTTTCGCTCCTCTGGATACAATTTTCTTTTCCTTTCGCCTTTCCCGAGAACCAAACGGATTTGTAAAAAGCTTCACTCTTTCTTTGTCACCAGTTTATTTATGGATCTCTGTTTGTGTATCTTGTAAGATTTCTCGAACTAACGAGTTGTGATTTCGAATTATACCTTTCTTTTTTGGACAATTGAGCTAACTCACGACTTTGATTTGTTTAAGATTCTGATCTGATATCTTCTTGCTTATTCACTTATTTTGTTAGCCGATGAATATTGATTGGAAGCTATATTTTATTTATGTGTGTATGGATTTGAAACAGTGTGAAGATTAGCGGGTTTATCATTGATTGGGTTTGCGAGGAGAAGTAGACAATGTCGAGGAGACAAGTGGGGTCCACCAGGCGCAATGGGACCTTTTCCTTATCAGGAGCCTTCCATTCTAAATCAAGATCTTCACCTTTGTTATCTATAGGGCTAGTCGTTGTGGTAATTTTCAAGTTTTATATGACTAGTTTTGTTTCTGCCGCTTCGGGTAGAGATTCACAGTTTAATGTGAATCAAAATTGTGGGAGTTATTGCTTGAATTAACCTTTACTTTTGGTTAAATTCTCAGGGGGCGATCCTTCTAACCGGCTATGCTTATAGTGGCTCAGGTTTATACGGTTTTATTTGCAGTGTTTTCATCGTTTCTTTTATTGGTGATTTTCAAATGTAGATAAATTGTACGATAGAGAATGATTTAAAGCTTCTCTTTTCGGGTTTTTTCTAGTGTTGTAGATGTTATTTTCTTTAATTTGTACTATAAGGGATTTATTTGTCTCATTTTTGCACGGAAGTCCAATGACTTAATATTTGATTTTTGACATACAGGTGGTTCCAGAGGTGAAAAGGCAGTTAGTGGGGTTGAAGGTGAGCATTGCATTTCATTTTCATGTACTTGGATTTTATCTTCGTTCTCAAGGTCGCTTTTAGAAATTTGCAGCACTAATCAATTGTCATGTCCCCCTTTTGTTTTTCTCCGATATAAGGAGAAAAAAGTTCAGTTACATGTCATTAAGCATGGTGGTTTATAGATTCTTTGGAATTCCATGAAAAATGTTAAGCATTAGCTTGAATGAGAAAGCAGTAGCGTCTTTTTTAGCTTATATATGTGGTCAGTTCAGTAGAAAAAGTGGAAAGAACACATTTATTGTATCTCCACAGACAAGTTTACTATCACCATTCGAGATGTATACATGCATGCATTTATTCATGGATATAATTGTGTGTGTTTTGGTAATATTGTAGATAAAGTAATTCTGATACAAAAAATTCATTTTCCATCTTTAAGGTGACTATTCGTGCACATTAGAAGTTCAGAGAGCAATACCTGTTCTAAAGAAAGCATATGGTGACAGTATGCGCAAAGTTTTGCATGTTGGCCCCGATAGTTGTTCAGTTGTCTCCTCATTGCTAAAAGAAGAGGAAACTGAGGCGTGGGGTGTGGAACCATATGACATAGAGGATGCTGATGCCCGGTGCAAGAGTCTTGTGCAGAAAGGCATTGTTCGCGTGGCTGATATCAAGTTCCCCTTGCCCTATAGATCAAAGTCCTTTTCTCTTGTTATTGTGTCCGATGCTTTGGATTACCTATCTCCAAAATATTTGAACAAGACTCTTCCAGAATTGGCCAGGGTATCGGCCGATGCTGTTGTAATTTTTGCAGGTACTTTCAAAAAAAGGTTTTATTTTTACCTGATAAAATGTTAATAGTTGGAAACTATTATAAAGTAGTTTCACTCTAGATTTTTGTTTCTCTTTAGTTTGCTGCATCAGATAATTCTGCAGCTTCAAATTGTAAATGTCTTATTCCCTCGCTCCCTCACTGCCACCCACCCACCCCCCACCCCCAGAGAGGCCAGGGTCCCACCTAAGAAAAAAATGGCCTAATTCTATGTGTTTCATCTAAATGCAATAATTTTGTGTGGTCTTTGGTAAAGATATTTATGGTCGATGCTAAGCAAGATATTTAACTGATAGTAAACTGTCTCATCATGACTAATAACAGAGTATCCATCTTTAACGTTAGGATCATAAGTTTTAGATGCATCTTTTTTGGTTTGTTTTTTTTCTTCCATACGGATACAGGAAAATGGTAGTCCAGCTGTCCAGGTTTTTTTATTGTCGGTTCAGTTTATTGTTCTGAACAATTTTATCAATGTATAACGTAATGGGCTGTGATTGGTATTTGTGTATTTTTATATTATTTGCTGAAAATAATTAGTGTTGTGTTCATTTCCTTTGATTTGTTCAGGTTACCCTGATAAACAGAGAGCTAAACTTCCTGAATTATCCAAATTTGGGCGCCCTGTAAGTGATAACCTGCTGCTAACAATATAATATAGTAGTGTACTGGATTTATTATGCTTCTCACTCTTAAATTTTTCTTCTGGTTGTTTTCACGATTATCTTCTGTTATATGTGTGGTTAGTCTTGTTGAAATAACAATGTAGCAAAGTTCAACCCATCATTGTTTATGAAAACCTCGAAACAAGTTTCTATTTTGGGATTCGTTACTTGAATGTGAGATTGAGAGTTGCTTATTTTTATTTTTTTAATAAGTAGTAGAGAATGGAGAATTTTAATGTCAAGGTTGTATTGATAGCAAATGACCGGTTAGTTTAGAGTGCATAACAAATTGTCTAAAAATCTTAACTGATGGCAACATAAGATGATTAGCGGCTCCTTATAATACAAAATGAACAAGATCCAATCATGAAACAAGGGAAGTAACATCTGAAAAGTGTTGCTGTAATTATAATATCTGCAACACTATGGATGACTATGATACCATGTTACAATCCTAACTTCCAGTTCTAGTTAGAACCAAAGGCTATGGTGATCATGAACATCTGGTCATCACATTAGTATTTTCCAGAAATATACTCTTTCC